GCAAGCAAGCTGCTGGGAGCCAAGCAGCAGTGGGCCAGACGGGAGCCTGTCCGCGGGCCCTGGAAGGACCCGGAGGGGGCCCCCCATGCTCTCCAGATGGGGCTCAGAGCAGCCCCAGAGGGTCTCCAGCGGGAAGGGGCCCCTTCTGACCCGGCCCGCTCCTCTGATGCCCCGCATGTGAGGCCCTGGCCCAGTGCCCAGACTTGCTGCCTCTGCTCCCACCTACCTGTCCTCACCTGTGCCCACCACATCTGCTCATCCCGCCTTTGTTCTCACAGCGCCCCCGGCTGGAGCTGGGCCCCCCTCAGCTCCAGCTCTGCTGGGTTCTAGCGCCCTGTGCCCCTGCCGTCAGGGTCTGCAGCCCACCCCGTGGGCCAGCTCTGCCGCAGGCAGCAGGACGTGTCCCTTATGGGCTGCTCCCTTCCCTGGTGAGGAACCCAGTGTGCAGGTTCCGTCCTTGTTGGGCCAGCACCTGGCCCCCACCCCCCAGCTTCCTGCAGCTCAACTATCTGGTCTTTTGTGGGGCGCACCCACCCCCCAGCTCTGCTCACCTGTCAGCTGCCCTCACCCTGTTCCTGCCCAGCTTGGAGGGGCCCATCAGGAGGGGCCCCAGGCTGTCAGCCCACCAGGGGGCCCAGCACCTCCACACTGGGGCTCCCCTCGCTCTGGGCCTCGGGGTAGCGCCTGAGTGATATACGTGACGGCGACAAGGACGCTGTAAGGACACCAACCTCATGTGGCCGTTGTGGGGAGCAAACAAGATGCCAGGAAGGAGCCAGGGCGTCCCAGGCGCCTGCTGTCACCGCCAGCCCCCAGAGGCCAGCCCCAAACCAGGGCATCTGCTCCACCACAAAGACATGCTCGGGGGAGGAGGAAAACGGGAGTGCGTTCTTTCACCCCGTGGAAACGAACACCCAAAGTACGCACTGGTGACGTGTTAATTCTGTCCTTTGCCACCTCGGACGCCGTGACGCAGCCACTGCTATAATACGGGGCGTGTGCTGGCTCTCCGGTGCAGCTTGCGGCCTCCACGCCCAGGCCAGGGTTGGGGGTGCCCTGCACACACTTTGAGGCTCAGCCTAGGAACCCCGGTTGTTCACGGTGCTGTGAGGCCCCTCCTACCTGGCAGTGATGCACAGTTACCCAGCCGGTGATGCCAGCATGGGCCTGCCGGGCTGCCTTTGATCAGTCTCACGGACTTGCTCACTGGGGAGTTCTGCCAGACACTGAGCGGTTCACTCAGTTGCTCCTGCATTCTCTCACAACCCTCTGCCCCACCCCGCTGTCTTTCTCTCTCGTTCACTGATGCTCCCACATGCCAGACTCTGTGCCACGCCTGGAAGTTACAGGGCTCCCAGAGCACGAGGGAAGACGCGTCCAATCCCTGTAGGCGCCCAGCTCAGCGGGGATGACGGGCACGATGCTGGGGTAGAAAAGCCTGTGAAACAACAAGGTCCTACCGCGTCAGCACCCTGGATAAGCCGCAGTGGAAGAGGACAAAAAAGGAACGTGAACATGTGCATAACTGCGGCACTGTGCTGTATGGGAGATATTAGTGCAACATCCTAAATCAACTGTACTTCGATTAAATAAACTCTAAAAAGCCCTGGAGATGCATGGACCTGCCAACAGGGCACAGAGTGGGATAGGCAGGGATGTGGGGCTGGAGGTGGGGTGAGGGTGGGCAGAGGAGGGCTTCCTGACCCTCTTGCCCCCTAGGAAGCCACAGGCTGGAGCGAGGGGCTCTGGAGCCACAAGACCTGGGCTCTTATCCTTAGCAGCTGCCTCAGTCTCCCCACCATACGCTGCTGAGTGGGCCAGGGGAGGGGGTGCATGTGGAATGCCTTGTCGGCAGTGTGACCATGGGAAGTTGGTTCTCTTTCTGTCTGGCTCCCTGTGGGTCAGTGGTCCATCGCTGCCCCTGGCACCAGGGCTGAGCCAGCCAGGTGAACCATGAGACAGGCCTGTGGGTGGGCTCAGCGTGACCTCCCCGTGAGAAAAATGCGTTTATGATCTGACGGCATAAAGCCCTGTTCCTATTTCACTGCAACCGGGCCGGGTCGCGTCTGCAAGGCCAGGTGACCGGGGCAGGTGCTGCAGCTTGCTCTGGGCCTGGCCTGGGGGCAGGGCCCACACTTTCTTCCTGACACGGCAGCTGAGGAAGTGGGCCTAGGATGACTTTGTAGCAGGTTAATGAGATGTGGGCCACTTGGACCTGAGACACGAGGCCCAGTGCGGTCACCACGTGGTGTCTCGGGCAGCCCCACCGGGTCACTGTTAGGGCCACAGGTAAGACCTGCACTTGACCTGAGGGGTATGGCATTTGTTGGGGGATCGGATGTGGAGATAGCGGGCTAAAGACTGCTCGGCGGGCTCAGTTGTGCCCCTGGGCCCTGCGGGATCTAACAGAAGGACCTCCTGGCCGTGGTGACGTCCAGGGGCCTTGGAAAGATGAGCAGGGATCTGCCCAGCAGCGGTGGGGGGGGGGGGTTCTAGGAGCTGCAGCAGTATCCGTGACGCAGGACCCCAGCTCCCGTGCCCTCGGACATGCACCAGAGGGGCCACCCTCCGGTTGAGGGCTGGGTGCCCTCGGGGAGCAGGGCCACGGGGGGGGGCCTGCCTCAGTCACCACAGTCCCTGGGGCCTTGGAAACTGTCCAGAGCGCCTCCCTCCCTGTCCTGCTGGGAACTTGGGATCTAAAGGCTGAGAACAGCGCTGCCTCCTCGCAGATCTGAAGGAGCTTCAGCAGCCTCCCCCTGCTTCTCTCCTGAAGGCTGCTCAGCCCCGGACTCTCGGGCAAAGTGAAGGTGCAGCAGCCGCCTCCCCGGGGGCGAGTGCCGCCTGCCTGGGGCCCTCCCGAGGAGGTGACCGCCTGACCAGCCGGCCCGTTCCCTGCTCCCCTGCCACGACTCAGGCTCAACTGGAGGCTGTGTGGTGGAGACCCCACAGCTGTTCACCGTCCACGGGAGGTGGGAGGAGAGGTCCCCAGGTTCCCATGGAGGAGTGCCCCCCGTCGGGGCAGGGTGGGGGCCGGGAGTGGGTGGGAGGAGAGGTCCCCCAGTTTCCTGCGGAGGGCTCCCCTCGGTCAGGGCAGGGAGCTGGGAGGGGGTGGTGGAGGGCAGGGGCGCCCAGCAGGGGGAGGTCCAGCTTCCTCCTCCTCCCGTGAGACCTGGGGCAGCTCCCGCCCATGCGGGGTCCCCACTGCTGCAGGAAAGACCCCGTGCAGCTGCTGCCCAAAGGTAAGAGGGGCATCAAGGTCTCGGCGTCTGAGACGGGGCTTGGCCTGGGCAGAGGCACCTTCCCCGTGTTGACCTCAGAGTAGCAGGGGCCTCTGTGGCCCTTGGGGGTCTCACCCCGATCGTCACGAGGACTGTCACTCCCCCCACAGGCTGCACAGACCTGGGCTTGTATCCAGCTTAGACAAGCTGGACTTAGTGGCTGGAGGCCGGGGCAGCTCTCCACATGGGTATCAACAGTGAGGCCTTGGGGAGGGTAAGGGGTCCTGGGCGGGACGGGCCTCGGTTACAGCTCCTTGGTCCAACCCCTCCTAAAAACCGGGGTGGAGGCTGAGGCCTGGCCGGGGGTGGGGCTGCGCCGCCTGTGCGGCCCGTCTGCACACGGTGGGGGTCTGGGTGCTCGGTGTCTGTCATCCATGCAGACCGCCCACCCAGAGCCACGCCGACTCCTGCCGGGCGAAGAGCAGCTGAAGGGAAGGGTCCCTGGAAGGAATGGGGCCTCTGCTCGAGCCTGGCCACCCAGCACCTCACTTCTCTGCCCCTCATGGGAGCCAGACATGGCGGGGCCCTCCTCGGGGTCACGTTCGTGGCGGGCAGAGCACAGGTTCCGCCACGCGGCCCGCGTCTCCTGGTGCCAGCGCTGCCCACAGGCTTCCTGACCAACCCCAGGGCTTCAGCTTCCTTCCCGCCACACAACTCATTAGGCGCACAGGTGGCAAGCCGTCTTTACGGCTTCGTAAACACAGACGAGCCTCTGATGCCCGATAAATTCTTTAGGCTAGAGATGCTAACTGAGCAGCTCATTATCTGGGAAAAACCAGAACGGCCCATGGAGACAACGCGGCTCCAGGCTCGGCAGGTGGGGAGGCCGGGCGCATTCTCAGCCCTCTGGCCTGTCGCGGGAGGCGCGCACTGACTCAGGCCCCTGGAGTCCGGGGACGGGGTGCAGGGGCCGGGCGTGCGGTGGGCTCCAGCCCCCACCGTCCCACTGCCCTTGGATGGATGGCCCAGCCTCCGCTCAGGCCTCTCGCTGCAGGGCCCAAGTCCCCAGCCGGGAACGGCCGACTGCCGCTGTGGCCGGCCTGACACCTGCCCAGGCCTCGTCCTCTGAACCTGCCTCCACTCCCCACGCCTGGCCCCGGCTTCCAGCGCCACCAGCCCGGCCGGGGTGTGCCCTCCTGGGGGGCCGGCAGGCCTGTGTCCAGAGGGGGCACTCATCAGGCCGAGAGAGGGCGGGCCCTGTGGCCCGGCTCAGCCTTGTCCTCCGCCACCACGGAGAGGCCTTCCGGGTTCTCGGTCATATTCCCGTGTGGCTCCTGGGACCTGTGCAGAGGGTGACCCCTGGGGCTGAACCCTCAGTCCACACACGTGGCCCCTCGTTTAGCCCCTTACCCTCAGGTGGGCAAGACTGCAGTGGCCTAAGCTGGGAAGCTCTGCTGGCCCAGGGACCCCCCAATGCCTGCCCCCCACCCCACATGCATGAGTCCCCCTGGTCAGGGGTCCTGGACACACTGCGTCTGGGCAACAGCTATGGCAGGGCAGTGTGGCAGCCGCATCCCCGCTGTGGACACTGAGCTCACTGCTCCGCTCGGAACGGCCTCCCGTGCCCAGGAAGCCCCCGCTGGGCCCCACGCCGACAGTGAGGGCCAGTGACCCGGCCCCGCCCCGGGGGCGTGGATGGGGTGACGTGGAGGAGGCGGGGAGGGGGAGCCTGGACCACCCAGCGGGGAGTGAGCGGCCCCTCCCCGCGGGCCGGGCACTCACGTTGATCATAGCATTGGACGTGATGCGGAAGAGGGTGGCCCGCTCGCTGACCGCCTTCAGCTTCTCGCCGCTCTCGGCCGGGACGCGGAGGCCGTCCAGCTCGTTCAGGGAGCGCTGCAGGGCCACTCCATGCTTGGCCACGAGCTCATTGCATGTGCCGAGGTCGTCCAGCTTCAGCGAGAGACTCCTGATGGTGCCGTGGAGCTCACTCTTGTCGGCTGGGGAGGGAGTCCCGTCCTCGTCGTCCCCAGAGTCATCTGTGGAGAGACGCGGCGTGGTTCTCAGGGCCCGGCAAGAGGGAGGCCAGGACGGAGGGGCAGGTAGAGCTGCCAGGAGAGAGAGCTGCCTGGGTGAGGGCGGGGTGTCTGCCAGCCCCCCAGTGGGCGGGACGAGAAGGGACCAGCTTGAATGACAGGGCCTGGCTGAGCTCTGCAGGGTGCAGGCAGGGGTGGGCAGCGCCCATCCCAGACCCGTGGGAAGAAGCAGAGTCCCCGAATCACAGGCCGGGCCCCACGGACCCCGCTTCCCCCCACTGCCCGCACCTCACCTAGCTGTCTGCTCTCCGCCCACCCCCGGCGGCACCAGGCTGCCCGCTCCCTGCAGACAGTGCTGCTCCTGCTTCGGGGCTTCCCCTCTGTGTCCCCGGCTCAACGCCGGCCCACCTTCCGCGCCCCCCTGGAGACCCCCAGGCCGCAGTCACAGCCCCTCCCTGCTGCTGCAGGGCTCCCCCGAGGAGCAAGGCCACGCTTGCCTGTGGGGTCTTGCGTGTGGAGAAACCGGCCGTGGGCTCTCAACGGCCTTATCAGGCAGGGACTGTGCCGTCCCCGGGGGACAGACAGGCGATGGGGCTCGGGGCGGTGAAGTCCAGCCCCATGCTCCACCCGCCCCCACCGCGGGCTAGTCTGTCTGCCTACAGAGCAGCCCCCTCACACCGGGCTGCGGGGGCCCCCGGCTCACTCCCCTCCCACCACCCCCTCTCCTGGGGCCCCAGGTACCCTCGGCACCCCGTCCTACAGTCTGGGGTACCTTGGAGCCTGGCCCCTGGCCAGTCCAGCCTGTGTTTGGGGGGCGCTCCGTGGAGAGTGCGGCGGGGTGGACGGCTGGCCTGGGCTCTGTAGCCACTTCAATACCAGCCTGTGAGGGCCAGAGCCTGTGAGTGTCCAGGGTTTCTAAGATGCCTTGTTTCAGAAATAATCAGCAAGAAACTTTTATATATATACATTTCTGGTGACGAAAATCTGTAACCCAAGATACAAATTTTTGCAACAAGTACACAGTGTGAGGGAACAGACTCCCTCCCATGGCAGGCAGGGTGTGTGGGGGCGGCGTGGCTGAGTCACTGCTGTGCACGCCCTGAGCTGGGGACAGTGCCCGGCCGGCCGCGAGGGCCTGCCCCCGCCCCCCAGCAAGGAGGCGGTGGGGGGCAGCTGGGCCGGGGACAGGGCTTCACCCCACCCATCCAGCCCCGCTGCAGCCCTGGAACAACCCGGCGTCCGGAGACCACGCATGCCAGGCCAGGTCCTGACCCCTCGCCTGACCAACGAGAACGCTGAGCCGCAAGGAGGCCAGCAGACAGCGACTGTTCCCACTCTGCAGGCGTGAAAACTCCGCTCCTGACACCGAATCACAGGTTCAGGGCCCTGCCGGTAGGGGGCAGGGCTGGGTCTGAACCCAGGTGGTCTGCACGGAGGTGGCTCCTCCTCCTGGATCACCTACGGAAGGCTCAAATGGCTGGGTGCTGGGCCCTGGGCAAGGCGCTGCCTTGGTGAGTGCACGCGGATGACCCGATGAGGTAGGTCTGGGGGCCAGGAGGTGCTCTGAGATCGCCCAGGGCCACAGGTGCAGGAATTCTGCAGCCTCCAGGCCTGTCCGGGGCTCTGAGTTACAATGCAACCTCCTCTTGCTTCCCGGGTTCAACATGTCTGATAACCAGAATAACCACTGACTGACTGGTCAGCGTGGCTGCCGCTGGGGACCGGGAGGGGCGTGGGGGGGCATGCTGGCTGTGGTCAGCCTGAGCGCGAGCCCCGGTACTCTGAGCACCTTCCTGCGGGAGGGCCGGGAGTTGGGGTGGGGGGAGGTCATTGCACCTCAGCAAGCGGCTCTGGGGTCCAGGTCAGATCCAGCTGCCCGGGACACGGGGAACTGCTTCTCTGCTCCCAGGGCGCTGGCTGGGTGTTTGGGGGCGGGATGGGAAGGCACTGGGTCAGCAACTGCTGAGCAGCACAGTCTGTCCTGTGGGGAGGGGCCGCCAGTGCCTCCCAGAGAGGCAGGGAGGGGGAGGGCAGTGAACGGACGACTGATCTTGGGTGCATCCCGGGAAGCCTGCACAGAGGCGGCAGTCACACACAGGAGGGCAGGGTTGGGAGAAGGGGCGCAGAGCCGCAAGCTGGAGCGGGGAAGGGGCACGGCTGAGGGGCCTGGGCCTCCGTCCCGTGGCCAAACGGACTGTGTGGGCATTTGAGCAGAGGCCCAGGTTAAAGAGGCGGCTCTGGGGGCGGAGTGCAGGGAGGGGCTGAACAAGGGAGGGGACCCGGGTCCCCGATGGTGCACGCTGGCCGTGCCAAGCCCCAGGTCTCTGTTCAGGGGGAGCAGATCCACGTTGGACACACAGATAAAGCTCAACATCAGATATGCAAACGAAACCACTCGATGTGACAGTGCTCAAGGTGGCAGAAAGGATGGATGGCATTAACGCCACTCGTGCTTTCTGAAAGACAGACCGGCAGATTCCCTCATGTGCGTGAACGGGGCGCCTTGCTCCCCCCGCCACCCCAACTTAGAAGGGAGCGTCCCTGCTGGCGGGCACGTCGTCTGAGGAAGGAAGACACTCACGCGTGCAAAGTGGCTTAGGCTGCGGTTCTCGAGCGGGTGGCCTTGGAGGTTCTCAGGCTTTTCTGACCCCACATGTCCTTTGTCCCCACTTCCACTGGGACTGAAACTCAGGGACAGTGAGCTTGTGAGAGGAACAAAGTAACCGCCCACATCTCAACCACACGGCAGACACCGAGCTGCCCACAGACTCAAAACCCTACACAAGCGCTGCAACTGCAAGGGCCGCGCCGGAGCCACGCTCCCGGCCACGAGGCGCCCTGGCCGGTGGCAGAGCCCACGCGATGGCCAGGACTCGGCACAGCGCAGAATGCAGGGGACACGGGTTCGATCCCTGGTGCAGGAAGATTCTCCGTGCTGCAGGGCAGCTAAGCCCACGAGCCTGGGTGCCTAGAGCCCGTGGTGCACAAGAGAAGCCACCACCACGAGACGACTGAGTGTCGCAACTGGAGAGTGGCCCCCGCTCGCTGCAACCAGAGGAAGCCTGTGTGTGGCAACAGAGACCCAGCACAGCTAAAAATAAATGACAAATAAGCAAACAAGAGTGTTTTGTTGTTTCTTTTTTAAAAATAAAAAAACTTCACAGAAAAACAACTAAGCAGGAGCCCAGAGAGCTGCTCCACCAGCCGCAAAGGCCACGACTCCTGAGAGCTGATGCTGGCCTGCAGATCGGGAGGCTGGTTCTGCCCTTCCTCCCCAGGGAACTCCGGGCCAACGCGCTGGCACCTTCTCAGAACGATGTTCCTCAGCCAGGGGTGCCCGGAGCCTCCGCGGCTCAAGTGACCACAGCAAACGGCAGCTCCAGGCTGGGGAGCGTGGGAAGAACCCCCAGTCTGGCCCACAAGCTGGGGAGTGGGGCGCGGTCAGGGTAAGACGCTGGCGGCTCCGGGACGGTGGGACCATGTGTCGCAACAGCCCGTGGAATCAAGGGCCCCAGCCTGTTATCCCGAAACCACCGTTTCTAGAAAAGCAACGACTCCCAAAACACCCACTGGATTTCACTGGCTCTAAAGGCAAGAACGAATCCTGTTTTGCTAGAAGAGAATAAATCCATGACGTTCAGGTTACCGATGCATTCCCAAGGCAGCAGTCGCAACTTCTCCAGCCCGACCAGGCCAGCAGAGAACGGCAGTCCACGGCCAGTGCAGGAGTTTCCAATCCTTGGGGCCTACCCTGGGTTGGCTGGTGTGTCCCCCCCCCAAATTCGTCTCCTTCCTGGAACTTCAGAATGTGACCACAGGACGTCCCTGGTGGCACAGTCGATAGGAGTCCATCTGCCAATGCAGGGGACACGGGTTTGGTCCCTGGTCCGGGCAGACCCCTTATGGCGTGGAGCAACTAAGCCTGTAGGCCATAACCCACCGAGCCGAGAGCCTGTGCTTCTAACACGGGGAGCCACCGCGATGAGGGGCTGCGGCTGGAGAGCGGCCCGGCGCACCGCAACTAGAGGAAGCCTGCGGTGAAGACCCAGCACAGCAAAAATAAGTAAAAATTTTAAAAGAATGTGACCTTATTTGGGCTGCGGCAGGTGCCATCAGTTATGATAATACTGGACTAGGGCCGGTCCTTGATCTGCTGTGATGGATCTTACAGAAGAGAAGCAAAGACGCAGCTTCCGTGCTGACAGAGACTGGAGCGAAGCATTTTCAAGCCAAGGCTTGCCAGCAACACCAGCCGTGGAGACAGGCCTGGGACACGTTCTCCCTGGGCCGTCAGAGAGAAGAGCGCCCCCCGACACCTTAGTTTTGGACTTGTGGGCTCCAGAGCCGTGAGAAAGTAAAAAATCACGTGGTGTGAAGCCATGGGCTTGTGGAGGCGCGTTACCACAGCCCTGGGAAACGGTTCCCGCAGCTTCAAGTGGCACAGACTTAATTTCCTGCCGCTGTGGAGGGCAGAGGCCCTCGGCACAGGCGTGTGGCGAGGCTGCGCTCCGCTGAAGGCTCCTGGGGACGGCGTGGGCTCCATCCTCAGAGTCAGCAGACCGGCATCTTCCAATCTCCTGCCTCCATCTCATAAGGACTCTGTGATTACCCCAGGCTATCCAGGTGGGCCCCGCATAACCTCCCGGCTCAAGGTCCTTAACTTAACCCCGTGGGTACAATCCCTCTGCCACGGAAGGTAACACGTTCGCAGGTTCTGGGAATTAGGACGCAGACACCTTGGGAGCCATCACCGAGGGGCGGTGGCTAAGCGGGACCCGAGGCTGCCTTCTCATCTGTCATGGGTCAGTTCGTCCGACTTACTGCCTGAGGAAAGGGGGATGCTCTCCACTTAAGCGCTGAGACCCCCTATCCGGGCACAGAGACCTCACAGGTCCCTCTGAGCTCCCTGCCAGCCTGGCACACACGCCTCCCTGACCGCGTGGGGGTCTCCTAAAGCCTCCACTGGCCGGCTGTGACCGAGGAGCCCCTGGGCACTGCCCGGA